CCCGCCTCCAGACGAGTTAAACAGGGGGGACATCGGCTTATTTTGGAGTGGCAAGGGGGCAAAATGAGTATAGCAATAATAATATTACTCAAGTAAAAGAAATATTCCAAAAAAGTTACTCAATGTAACATGTAAACCCAGCGTGAGCGTCTAGCACTCATGTTGCAAGGCTCCTCGAAAAACATGTTACAACTTGTTAACAGCAGATTAAACAGTTTTAACTGCTGAAAAAAGTGACAGAAGACACAGATATGGGAAGTGCGGAAGCCCCTACTGTATTAAATCAATATAGGAATAACAGAGATTTGGCCACTTTAAGGTAAAAACAACAAATAGCTTACAGTCCACGGGGGGCACGTCTGACTCCGTGGGTGGGAAATGCCCCCCAATGCCCGCCCATGCCACCGGGCCTGTGTCTATGTCAACAATAACCAATTTCAGAACTTCGCATGAAGTATTTCGGGGCCTTCATAGATAGGGTGAGAAGTTTGGTCATACGGGGGGGGGCTGAGAGTAGACAGGTGGTATAGCGTTAAGATGGAAAGAAATGTAGATGAGCTGAGAACCACAAAAGATGTCTGAGGTTAAAGAAAAAAGTAGCTGTCTATAGCACACAAAGTTAAGTCTTTAAGAATCACTGTGGAAAAAACACTGCAAAGACATGGCAGAACCTGAGAGATGGGTCAATCTTTTATTGGATAAAAATCTAATTTCTCTCAAGTCTTGTTATCATTCTGATTTTTCATGGCTTCACCTAAAGAAGTTTGTTTGTTGCTATTAATAAAGGGCTGATTCATCCTTCTAGTTCAGGAGTCTTTCCATCCACGCTGTTCTTATAACCTATACCAAAATGATCGACTAACTAGCTGCCCTCTCTCCTCTACAGGTAACCCCACTCCAGCCAGTGTAACCTATAAGTCTCCCATCATGAAGAACCCTGATGTTCGGAGTGCCATTGAAGGAGTGAAGTACATTGCTGAAACCATGAAATCAGATGAAGAATCTAACAATGTAAGAGCATCTGATGGTAACATTTTGGCTTTAGGCAACGAACAATCTATACAAATTTTTACAAAAGTCAGTAAGCATTTCTGTTTTAGTGTATTATTGACTAAAACACCAACACTCATTATCCACTTTATTAAGTATATCTACTAAATTACTTATAAACAAAAATACAGACTAAGACTTGAATCGGTGCCATGACGAATTAAGTGAAAGGGGGATCAAATTAGTTCAACCTAAGCCTAAGAAAATGGACACCAGATATATATATATATTTTTTTTATCTCTGTCCTATATAATGTATGTGAGCAAAACCTTTCCCACCAGAACAGTGAGATGCTTCCTCTATAACACATTCTGGATTGCCAGTGACTGGATTATGGTAGATTTCAGGGGAGACGGGCCTATTGCTGTCATGGGAGAAAAAAATTGAGGCTTTGGAAGAATAGAAATACCCCGGTCTTCACCTGGACAACAGAATGAATAGTTGATGCAACAGGAAAGCGGCATACGAGAGAGAAAAGAGAAGACCTAAGCTGTTTTATGAAGCTTAGGTCCTTCAGTGCTAAAGACTACTGAAAATGCTGCAGACCTTCTCACAGTCTGCCATAGAGAGTATGATCTCTTTGGCTATCATCTGTTAGGGTAGCAGCATCAGAGGCAGAGACTAAAAAACTAATAAAGAATGCTATTGTTTTCTGGGGATTGCTCTTGAGCCTCTGAAAATGAATGTGTAAGGAAGGATGCTTGATAAAATCAGAGAATTTGTCTTATAGGTACCACCATCTACAGTGATGCATTTAAGAAACATTCATAGTATGAGTTACAAAAAACATAACACTTTTCTTCTTGATCAATAAAATATTTAGAATATGAATTGAATATTATAGAATCAAATAAACATTATCAAGTTCTTTTAGGAATGTAGTCTTCTGAGTAAGACACATTGTTGTTAAACCTTAATAAGAGAAAGGGTGAAAGCTGGTAATTAACCCCAGGTATGCTAGAGTAGCATAGCTCTAAAATAAAAACATAATACATTTATTATTGTGAAATACAGTTTTAATAATTTGCAAACCAGTTTTCCATTCCAGTTTCTGCCACCTAAAAGACAACTGCTCCTTCTTAATGTTGCCAAGTTTGAAGACACCTAAACCCAAAGACAGACGTTTTCTCATTTCATTGTAGGCAGCAGAAGAATGGAAGTTCGTGGCGATGGTTTTGGATCATATCCTGCTGTGTGTCTTCATGGCCGTGTGTATCATCGGAACGCTTGCCGTCTTCGCTGGGAGACTAATAGAGCTCAACATGCTATGAAAACCTAGCCCACAAAGGAGGATGTGTACAATAAAATTAGAAGTCGTGCTTTGAGAGGGATCAGAATGGTTAATTTATGGACCCTTTTGAGGTTGTGATGTTGACGTGATCTGTGTGGCATTTCTGGCACAAAAAGGCTGAGCTGATAGCTAAAACGCTACAGAGAGCCCTGAGTCTTGAGTCACATTTGAGGGTTTGTGTTTTTACTAAGACGGATGAAACTTCAGCAGCAAGTTAACTCTGAATTCATAAATACATACAATTTTTGACATGAATGGATTTTACTAGATTATTATTGTAACTTTATTGGTAATGCAGGGTGTATCATTACTCTGATGTGTATAATTATTTCTAGTTTTTTTTTTGACGGAATATTGTGTTCTCATAATCTAATGATGCAGGCAAAATATTTCCTACCCAGGAAGTTTTATTTATTGGTTTTGCCTGACTTATGATTTACTTTTTTGTGTATGCTGTTACATGTAATTACAACCTTATTTAATATTAAGGAGAAAAAGTTAGTTATCTGAAACCTATACTATCATATTTCTACCAATATTAACCATGTCGAATGTTTTTGTGCTAAAATTTGGTTGTTCATTTGTTTTCAGTCAACGGTTTTGATTTTTAAGCAAATCGGCTGACGTTTTTACCCCTAATGTTTCAGCCAAGTTTTCTTTTGCAGACTTTACCTTCAGCAGTTCTCAGCTGAAAAGTTCAGCTCAAATTAACATTGCACTTTCACTGGAAATACAGTTTGTCTTGTTTCTCTTTCTAGTGTAAATGAGATCTAGATCTCAATGGGGTTTACCTAGTTCAATAAAGAAGAAAAAAAAAACTTTAATTTTAATTTTGGAAGTTTTCTTAGGCAAAGGAACCACTGGAACAGGGTACTCTGAATCATATATTATGTAGATGTGGAAATAAATGTCAAACTTAATATTTTGTGTTTTGTAGTGCCATTAGTAACACTGACACTTTTCTTTTGTTTTAACCACAAATTTATTCAAAATGTAGCAAATTGTTTCATTTAGCCAAATCAAAACAGATGAAAAACACTGGATCTATGGAGACATATATATATATATATATATATATATATATATATATAAAAAATTTTCTCTTCTGCTGAAAATGTTTTGGATTTGCAATAAAAAATGCATCAATAAATTAACCAAGCAAAAGTAACTGAAATATACAGTAAAGAGCTTTATTAAAGTTATAATTTACTCAGTAACAGCGTTTAATTTAAAGCTTCTCCTGCTAATGTGCATTTTACTAAAAAAGCTCTTTCCTAATGGGAGCATTCAGGGAATCACTTATCAATCAGCGAGGGTACGTAAAATGAAGGAATATTGCAAAGTTTTCAGAAATCCCTATTCAGGTTTAGAAAAAAAATCAATGAAGTAACAATGACTTTCTGCAAATAGCGAAGCTAAAATTCATGAAGTAGTCTCTTAGAAACATTCGAATGATGAAGTTAAACTGCAAACTGTAACAAATGGTAAACGGGAGGTTTGGGTTTAAAAACAGCAGTAAACAGTCACAATGGCAAGCTGCTCTTTGAAACGGTTAGGACCAGCACAGTAAACGCAGACTGGAAATATAAACAAAAATATAACACAAATAAATTAACACAATACAGAAAAACAAAACATTTGGCAAATTGTCCTCTGAATGAGCATAAATATGAAAGTTCTGCAAGCACAAAGAGGTTCGATTTCATTACCACAGCTCATAAAATGCCACCTTTACGGAGTTTCTGAACTAAAATCCAACAACTTTCTCTAAATATATACAATCACAGTACACCCTCTTTCAGTTTTGTGTATTAAAACATCATAAAATAATTTACAAGTTTCTAAAATTTCTAAACACCTGTAGAAATGTGTTAAAGTCAAAAAACATCAACACAGAATTGAAGAGTGAAATGAATATCGAAGCCAAACTGAAGAAAAAAAAAAACCTGTATGACAAATAAAAGCTTGACTACAAACTCTGGTGCTTCCACAAGGTGCCAGAGAGAAAGGACTTCAATTAGCCATGACGTCCTAATTGATTAACTGATAATTAATGGGAGAATTGCTTTAAGAATATGGATTTTGAGTGTTTTCTGCTCTTGAACGGAGGTTTGTGTCAAGGCCTATGAGGAGAGAAATCAGCAATTACCTTAGAATTGTTAGAGGAAATTCATTTTGGAGCTCATCTTCATATCGAAGGGTTTTGGACTCAGACGCAAGACAACCAGTCTGAACAGGGCCAGAACTGGGTCAACACAACAAAACACAGCAGTATGAAACAGAAGAGAGGCATTGTGGTCCAACAGTCCAGTCAAAGTCAAGATCGAAAAGCTGGTGGGACCTTAGGGGAACTTTTCAGAATCCGGATATTCCTGTTTAAATATTTTTTTAAATGATCTTATGTGATATTCTAACTCTTTGAGACACTGCACTTAAGAGTTTTTATCATAAAAAATTACAATGGTTGAAAAATTTCTCTCCACGTTTAATGAATCCATAAGAATTTAAGTCTCTGAAATGAACGTCCAGTTTCCTGACAATGTTCTAATTTCTGAGATATATCTATAAAATAAAAAAATATGTTTAGGTTGACTCGAAAACAATAATAAAATTCATTTGACCCTCACGGTGAAGTAAGAGGATCCTAAAAGTTCCCTCCTAAACCAAGTTGAGAAACATTTAAAAAATATTCTATAGCTCATTTTATTATGAAATAATGTAGAAAATAAGTTATTTCAGCAGAATTAAATCAAAGGCATGCATTTGTCTTAAACATAATCCTAAATAGTGGATGTATTAATGTTAATGGCCTTAACTTTCCACATGGAGTCACTGCAGTTCACTAAACCTAAAAGTTTCATTAAATAGACTAAATGAGTTGTGATAAACTGCATCATAACAGGTTTGAGATCAAATCCTGTGTGGATCGTTAAAACTTATGGGTCAGAACCAGAAGAGAATACTCTTCAGTATTCTACAACTTTAAACCTAAAATGATTTTATTGTGGAAATCTTCAAATATCCTAAATGAAAGACGAAGGTTTGATTTCCCAGAAAGCATCACTGACAGGATCAATAATCATCCTGAATCTTCACCTTCCACCCATGTAGTAAACCCAAAATCACATTACCACCAAACCCGGGTTATTTTAGCCAATCCTGTTGGAACAAAGCGTGCTCTTCAGTGTTGTGTTGCCATGGAAGCCATCTGTCATGGCTGCTTTTCATCTGGTTCATCTCGACGCTCTTTAGGTTGCCGGATGTTCTTCATTCTGGCTCTGGTCTAGTTCCTTCTCCTCTTCTTTAATTGCTTCATCATCCTTCTCCTCCTGCCGATTCTCCTCCGGTACGTTCTCCTTCTCTTCCTCAGAGTCCCTGTCATCCAGACCCAGGTCTTCCTCAGCTGTGGAGAAGATGTACTGAGTAAGATGAAACAAACTAATTGTTTTCCTGTTAGTCATCATGAGAATGTTTTTTTTGTTTCCTGTTGGCAAAAGGTGAACAGGAAGTGATGAAGAGTGTGCCCAAACCACCCTTCATCCAAACCAGCTGCTCTCTGTCCAAAATGATTAAATAAAATGCAAGAAAAAAGTGTCACAACACAGCAGAAACGTTTCATTACTTTTACACATTTGATAAATGAAGACATAGGAGTTGTTCCATAATTAATATTTTCATAAAATAAGATTCACAAATCAAATACCAAAATGTTGTTAGTACTGAAAAAAGTAAAAAAAAGGTTTGCAAAACTTTAATTAGAACAGTGTTTCTCAACCTTTTTCGGGCCAGCGCCCCCTAGCCTTTATCCAGGTCTCTCACCGCCCCCCACTTTTGTTTTTCAGTGGAAAAACAACAGTTCCAGTCCTTTTAATGCCATACAAATATGAGACAGAAACATGGATTATATCTTTATATAGACCTGTCTATTGATTTATAGATTAATAGTTTTACTGGACAGAAATTGCGAAAAACAAATCTGGTTCTTAATCAAATCCTAATGAGTCAAATTGAAAGTGTCATGGAGTCATCAGCCTCATGACATTAATAATGACATGAAAAATAATATTGAAGAAATAAATATATCAAATCTAATTAAAGCATAAATAAGTGATCAGTTCTTTACTGTTATTGTCTGTAAGTTATATTTATTCTCAGTACTAGATGTGGTCTCAACAAACCCATGGCACTTCATCAATATTATTTTACCTTTTATCTGGAAATAGTGTTTATTCTTGCCATACAGTCCTCTGTATTAATTATTGATCGAAAGGTCTTGCCATACCAGTTTATTCCTCTGTATTTACTTTAGTTTCTTAGTTTATTCTTGCATTTTGTTCTTCATTCATTTCCATTTAGTTTCCTTTGATTAGTATTATCCTCTTCTGGTTTATTGCTATGTCCACTTTAGTTTCTTTCCTGTTTCTAGATTTATTTTATCGTTTATTGATGCTCAGTAATCTTCACTCATCACCTGCTGCGCCGCCTAATCATCAAGTTTCACATCATCATGTGTTCATTTTTCACTGTTCAGCGTAGGATTCTCTGTTTTTATGCCATAATTTACATCTCTGCCAGCATGCCTAGGTGGACCCCATGTGGGGAAAAGGAGGGCAGACCATAGAAAAGGAGG